TAATAATTAGAAATAAATAAAAAATATAAAATAATACAAAATAAATAATACAAAATAAATACAAAATAGAAAACCACATCCTGGAGGTGGGGCGCATGACATTGGGTGAAGTCACATGCCTGTTCGGGGGGGGCACATTTTTTTGTTCTTGCTTCGGGCGCAAAAGGAGCTCGCTACGGCTCTGCCTTCAGCCAACATGTTCAGTAATATTATATTACTCTCTTGATAAACCCAAATCAGGGTAAAAGAATAGGTGTCGTGTCTTGTACCCATAAAATACACACAATTGTGTCTGTGGATAAATGGTAACAAATCATCTTTTTCTCTTCTGCTGAAGGACGCGGTAGCTATACAACTGGAAGAACAACGACTAATAAAGATCAGAGATGTGTTGAAGGAGCTTCCCCTTCCCCATTACAGGTACAATTCCATCTTTACCCACACACTGTCTACCTGACTTCCATCTTAAAAACAATGGAATAGTTCCAACACTAAGGGGTGCTATAGGTTAGGTCTATGTCTACAACACTCTGGTACACTAAGTACTTTCATAGCAACCCGCTAAATTGGCTAAAGCCAAGAAAATCTTCCAATATAATGTCCTCTAAGAGTTGCCATCTCCAGCTCCAATATATCCCTGCATTCTAATTTAGCAAGGGGGCAGAACGGAAAATGTGTTTCTTAAACTAATTTTTTTAGTAACAAAGCATAATGGGACTTATTATCCATATGACCCCTTCATTAACCTTTCTCTCATTAAATACATTTTATGTGCATCTAACAGGACTCTGGAGTATCTCATGAAACACTTGATCCACGTGGCTTCATTCAGTGCACAAACCAACATGCACGCTAGAAACTTGGCCATTGTGTGGGCACCAAATCTGCTGAGGTAAGTAGGACCAGCATTTCCACGCACCAATGCGAAGCTCACCTTACATGATCAGGCTCCCTATACGTACATAGAGATTTGTTCCTGCACCAGGTCTACACTCAGGAATTGCTTTTACATACTAATTGTGGAAAGACCAAGACAAATTGGAAACAAAGGTCAACAGCCATAGATTAAGCTGAATCAGTTGCACTTAGCATACAGCTTTTAGGCTGCGTTCACACCTCACCGTTTTGTAGCGCGTCCTACGCTCGACGAACGCGCTACAAAACGGTAAAAAAAATAAATAGCATTGTAGTCAATGCCCTCGTTCCCACCTAGGCGTATTTCCGCCCGTCCCTAACGCCCTGAAAAGGTCCCGGGACTACTTTGGGCCGCGTGACGGTCGCGCGACAGATGCGCATATTACAATACGCCTAGGTGTGAATGGGGCCTAACAGTAACAATGTTATTCCTGAGTTATAGTCACATAGATTTGGACCAATTCATCTAATGTTTGGCGTTACTGTGCAGGTCCAAGGACATCGAGTCATCTGGGTTTAATGGTACTGCAGCATTCATGGAGGTTCGAGTCCAGTCCATTGTGGTGGAATTTATTCTGACCCACGTGGAACAGTTATTTGGAACTGGGTCAGGTGATGGTGAGTATACATATATATATATACTGTATATGGTAATGTCATTGTTCAGTTTTTGGATTATTCACTAATGATGTGTGTACATTGGGATATGAAGATCATTCATTTAGAGACCTCTATACCAGTGGTTCTCAACCTGTGTAACCTCAGGACCCACATTTGTCCTTGGTTATTAAGTCGCGACCCAAGTCGCACTGCAATGGAAAGCACAGCTTTAGGATACCACGCGCTTTGGTGTGGATGTACAAACTGTGGGTGGGTGGTGGGTTTGGGCATGAATGGCAACGCAACACACCTCCCACACCAGAATGCACTGTGGGTGCGATTATGGGGTAACGCTATGCGATGAACGCACTGTACCAGTGTGTCTGGGCCCTCAAAAACACTGACATGCATACACAACCACAAACACAATCTCACACACTAACAGACACACAGACATTCTCACACAAACACCCCCAAAACATTTTTTTCCCTTTTTTTAAGATCCACCTTACGAGAAGTGGAGTGGATCCTCAGCCTGGGGTCCAGTGTGGGCTGTGTGACGGAGCTCCATCTATAAGTGCATTGCTTGTACAGCTCCCTTGCGTGCCCTATAGAGGTGCCAGGAGCCAGAATGTGATGTCACTCCAGTCCAGGCACCTCTACAGGGCATGCAAGAGGAGTTATAAGGAATGCACATATGGATGGAGCTCCCTCGCGGCCATACCCCAAGCCCACCCCACCTCAAGCTGACACTCGGTGCCGGGCAGCATATTTTGTAACTCTCACCTATAAAAGTGGAAAGCATGCGGCGACCCACTGAACATGGGGGCGCGACCCACTTTTGGGTCAAGACCTACCAGTTGAGAACCAAAGCTCTAGATCAGGGGTGCCCATAAGGTCGATTGCGATCTACCAGTCGATCGCGTAGCAATCAGTGGTAGATCGCGATGGCCTTTCCTCCCGCCCGTGGTGCTTCTCCGAATCCCCGCTGTTCTCCCCATCTGTATGCAGCGGGGATCCGAGAAGTGAAAGATGTGCTGCAGCCCGCGGCGGAGGACGGAGCCGCTGTCACAGAACTAAGACCGAGCAGTGAGGAGAGAGAGAGAGACGCTCGGCCTCTCTCTCCCCTCACCGCTCGGCCTTAGTTCTGTGACAGCGGCTCCGCCCCCCCCAACCCACCGCGACTGCAACGCTTCTTTCACTTCTCCTCAGATCCCCCGCTGCCACTGCCCGTGAGTGCAGAGCGGATCCAGAGGAGAAGCTGAGCCCCTCTGTGTTTGGCCGAGCGGCAGAGGATCGGTACATATCAGTGATCGATATGTATCGATCCTCTGTGCAGGACAAACACTGGAGCGATCAGCTGATCACTCCAGTGTTTGTAAATAACTGGGGACACATAGTACTATGTGTCACCAGTTATAAATGAACAGGATGTGATTTACATCACTTCCTGTTCATTCACGAGTTTCTCAATAGGGAGAAGCACTCACTACAGAGACTACTCCCCATTCAGAAACTGGATGATAGTAAAATATTTTTCTGAATGAATGGGAAGCCTCTGTGCTTTCCATTCATTTAGAACAGAGGCTGTAGAAAAAGAGATTGAGGACTTTGTGACCTCAATTTATTTTTCTATTTTAAAAGGGAAATATCAGGGGGCTGTTTAGACTCCTAATATTTCCCCCGAAGCCCCCTCAAGAGTAAAAAAAATTAATAAAAAAAATAAAAATTAAATAAATAATATCGCCCGCACCCGGAACGCAGGCACATTAGTGCCTGCATTGCGGTCCAGTGCGATCTGCAAAAATAGTGCTTGTAGCATTTTTTTAGATCGCACTGGACTGGAACGCAGGCACTAATGTGCCTGGGTTTCGGGTGCAGGCGATCGCACTGTGGGCGAGGGGCCTGCCTGCCTGCGGTGCCATTAACTTCAATGCACCGCCACGCCCCCTCCCGCTCCTGAATGCAGGTGTTTTTTTCATTGGAAGATCTCCTTGAGCTCATCATTTGAAAAGTAGATCTCCAGACTCCAGATCTCCCCTGCTCTAGATGATCAATTACTTAAAGTCACCAGTGCAAACCTTGTAGTATATCCCTCCCTTCACATCGGCCCATGCGCTGCATTATTTTGTGAAATAATAATGTCTGTGTTTGTGAACAGGAAACATGAACAGCACATCAGCTAATATGAACTGGCCAACGTGTGTTCCAGAGGACTATTATCGCTCTTTATCCTACAACTTACCAAACATGTTAAACCATGGTGATGGTCCTCCGCAGATACGACCATACCACACAATCATTGAGTTCGCCGATCATAAGTAAGTGACCATAACAAATCTCTGACACAGGTTTCCGGAAACATAATCTAGCCCCCTTGTAAACTACAATATGAGCTGCAATACCCTCCTTCTATTCACCATTCCTCATTACATTCCTTCCACATTCACTTGTATTGGTGACCAGCTATTCCTCCCACCGCCATAAGTGCCATCTTCCTGTCATATGTGTCAAAATCAGAAAGTAAACCTTTAGGCTTTCAAGAGTGGTGGAAACTTGATGCATTCCTTCTTGTATTCCACCCATGGGAGGCATTCATTCCCAATGATAAAGAGATATAAACCACTCTGTACGGTGGGAAATTAAAGGGTGTTACTCCAATAAAACACTTATATGGATGATAATTTTGTTGATTAAATGTTGCGTGGACTGTGATGTTCTGGTGCACTGTTTATATCAGGGGTCTCAAAGTACTTTTGGCCCGCAAGCAGTGTCACCAATAGAGGGGTAGAGATGGCCCTCCTGTGTCGGGCCCAGGCCCCATTAGGTCAGCAGGGGGGCCCAAGGAGAGGGGCTCTTACCTTTTGCAGCAGTCAAGGGCGTAGCTAGGCTTGCCACCTGTCTAGGATTATATGCTGTGTCCGTGTTTCAGGCCAGCCAAAACCCAGACACAAGATGCCACAATGTCAGACGGACAGGGGTAACCACGGGGTACAGGTGTTTCAACTTGAGTTTATTGAGGAGGCATGGGACATGGAGGGAGGGATGCTAGAACTCGGGAAGCAAGGAGGTTCCTGAAAAACAGGGTACAGATAAGTCTTGAAGGGCACAGAGGTTATGCTTCAGGCAGATGTGTTGCTCGCTATCTCTCCTCACTCTTTCCCTCCTGGCTGTCTCCCCTTGCTCTCTCTCCTGGCGGTCTCTCCTCACTCTCTCTACTAGCTGTCTCTCCCCACTCTTTCCTGACTGCCTCTCCTCGCTCTCTCCTCTGTCTGTCCCTTCTCTCTCTCTCCTCTGTCCGTGTCTCCTCTCAAAAGAGACCCCCAACTCCCAAAGCTCAGATCCACCCGATTACATGTGAGTATAATTATCTCACACACCAGGAGCAGCACACCAGCATTGAAACCAATCCAACCCCCACGTAAGAGCGCTCACCAACTGGACTTATCCTTCACAACTTTTTACACATCTCCTCTCTTTCTCTCCTGGCTGTCAATCCTCACTCTCTCTCTCCTGGCTGTCTCTTCTCGTGGGGCCCCCATGGAAGAAAACGTGCCCAGTGGTCATTTGAGTTTGAGACCACTGGTTTACACTGAGTGGCCAGTTTATTATGACCACCTGACGTTTGTAGGCAAATTAGCTATAATTTCCCGCTGAAGTTGCTAGAGGGCCAGACCATTATAAATAGGGAAGCAGGTTGTTTACCACGACAGTAGAAGTGATTTTTTTCTGAAGATATGGGTAAACAACGCGATTTAACAGCCTTTGAACGTGGGATGATTGTTGGCGCTCAGAGCCATGGAGCGAGTATCAGCAAAACAGCAGAATTCGTTAAATGTTCAAGAGGGGCTCATTGTTAAAGTGTTTAAAGACTGGACTGTCAGCGGAAAATCTGGGTCTGAACGTGCGAATTGTGGCCGTCAGCGACTAGTCAATGTTAGGGCAGAACGGAGAGTGGCAAGACTGGTACAAGACAACAGAAGGGCAACAGTGCAGTGTCAGATTCCTCGCATCACCTTTCAACATCTCGTGGAGTCACGAGGCGGCCCAACAAAGTCATCTCGTGGAGTTATCTTGTGGCCCAACAAAGGACTGATGGTGTGGTCATAATAATCTGGACACTCAGTGTATATGCTTGCCATTTACTGAAAGGCCCAAGGAAACTTGCCTGTACATCAAACTCTATAATTAACATCTAACCAACATCTAATGAAACTGGCACACATCTTAGAACAGAACTGGCACACATCTTAGAACAGAACTACCCCAATTATTTACGTGGACAATTAGTAGGTGGATCCAAAACCTTGAGAATGAGTTACATGGGTTGCCTACTCTGTAAAATTCCTGAGGCCAATAAGAATTTTCATGTGATGTAGAGAGTGGTGACCAGTCCTGTTAGATGTATGTATCTTGGGAAGTACAGAGGTCCCTCAAGTGCCACCTCTGCCAAGAAGCTTAAGGGTTTTCCAGGGCTTTTGTTACTCCCATAATAGACATGACCTCATTTCCTCTCAGGGACAAACATAATTTTTCACACCATAAGGACTTATCTTTTCTTTCTCAGTCCTACATACTGTATCAAAAAGAATCAGAGAGGGTTTCTGTCCACAGTGTTCTCTCACAAGTACATGACTATCATTACCAAGTGAACAGCCATTGTAAAAACATGACTTTGCACACATCAAGCAAACTACTGACTATTCAAGGGAAGAACATCCAAAACATACCTATAATACCATTATGACCACTCACTATGATCACTAGGTTTCAAGTTTACCACAACAATAATACTATCAATACAATATTAATGTCATGCATTATACTGTTTGCAGGAGAAAGGGCTCTTTAAAAGCCAAGAAATGGAAATCCATCTTCAACCTTGGCCGAAATAATGACTCCAAGCGCAAGACAACAAAGCAGGATGAAAAAGGTTTGCCTCTTTCCACATCTGTTTATTTGCATTATGTATCATGCATTTGCTTTCTAAATGAGGTAGTGAAGGTGTGTGTAGTAAATGCTCTGATTAAGGCTAATGGAAATATAATATATGATGTGTGAAATATAAAACATAAATCTTACAGTCAAATGACTTATGCAAATACCACAACCCATAGTGTATTAATATACTGTACAAACAGAGGCCTAGCTGCCGGCCAGGATGCTTAACACCTGTTCCATCTACCCTAACACCTATTCCACCAGCCCAGACCACTGTTCCACCAACCCTTATGACTAGCCCATCTCCCGCACCATTCCCAGAATCCCACACTCCTGCATCACTGTCCCTAACACCATTTACACCTATGCAGATCCCTATTTCAACAAACCTAACTCCTTTCCCACTAGCCTTGGACCCTCAACAAAGTTCAGATACTACAATGCTCCCCTGGGAACTCTATACAAAGTTCAAATACTGCACTGCCCTCCTGTGGACCCTCTACAAATTTCAGATACTGCAGTGCTCTCCTGTTAAGCCTCTACAAAGTTCAGATACTGCAGTTACCCCCTGCTGATCCTCTACAAAATGGGGATACTGCATTGCCTCCTGTGGACCCTTTACAAAGTTTGGATATTGCGGTGCCCTCCTATGGATACTCTACAAAGTTTGAATACTGCAGTGCCCTCCTGTGAAGCTTCTACAGAGTTTGGATACTGCACCACCCCCCCAAGGACACTCTACAAAGTTTGGATACTGCAGTTCCCTCCTAAGGACACTCTAAAAAAGTTCAGATACTGCAGTTCCCTCCTATGGATACTCTACAAAGTTTGGATACTGCAGCATTCCCCTGTGAACCTTCTACAAAGTTCAGATACTGCGCTGGCCTCCTGTGGACCCTCTACAAAGATTGGATACTGAAGCACCCCTCTGTGGACCCTGTACAAATTTCAGATACTGCAGTTTTCTCCTGTGGACCCTCTACAAAGTTCAGATGCTGCAGTGCCCTCCTGTGGACACTGTACAAAGTTTGGATACTGTAGCACCCCCCACCCCGAGGACCCTCTACAAAGTTTAAATACCGCAGTGGCCTCCTGTGGACACTCTACAAAGTTTGGATACTGCAGTGCCTTCCTGTGAACCCACTACGAGGCCGAAAATGACACGGTTGTGCTTGGCAGTATCTACCAAGCTAATGGATTATTGCTGCAAGCCAGCAACTGATATTGTTAGTAGAATGTCTCTTAAACCAGCAGATGTTTTAAGATTCAGTCTTTTGATACTGTATAAATTACTGTTTAAAATTTTCATTCCAGATGAAAAGCACGAAAAAATGAACCTGAGGCCAGCAAAGAGCATGGATTCCCTCAGCTCTGTCCCGGCAGATGGTGAGTAGAAGGTGTTGCATTACCATGACACGTTAAGGAGCAAATGTTTTACTCTTCCCCAATGTGATGTTTCAGCCATAGGTGGAGATTGGTGGGATAGGTTACCCACTACTTTCTTATACCTCAATTGATATATCCCAGTATTGAGGTCTAACCCCCGAGTTCTCTGTGCTTTTCTCATCCACCTTGTAGTCTTCTCTTCTTGCCGCAACATTGAATCCCCTCACAAGGGCTATTCTGACTCCGATTGTTGTGATAGCGATTTATCCCTTGTGAGACCTCTATGCCCGGCCTGTATAAGCAGATTCAATCACTGAGGACAATCATTGTCAGATAGCTGAACTCACCAATACCGTGTTCATCCACAAAGGTTGCTTTATTCTGCACAACAGACAACAGGATACAGCAGATGGATGGTTTTCAGTATTATGCGGTCAAAAGATGATGCCTTTCCTAGCGTACTATGCAGAATACATGTGTCCTTGTTACATGTGGCCTGTTAGCTGTGGCCATGACACATGAAGTACTGACCAACAAGAAGAAGGGTGGGGCATACATACAGAGGAAATGTGTCATCATGTGAGGAAGGGAATACAGGAAAAACAGGTGCATTATCACAAAAGGCCACTAGATGGCAGCATATAACTAACATATAGAATGGCCATAGGAAAATGATTTAGGGAAAACAATGATTGTGCCATACAACTCCTTCTGTCAATGCAAAGCTATGAGTTGGTCCACCTGCTGAAAGCAATGCGATCTCTGTGTGGCTGATATCTCATGTCAACTGTTAAAGTGTATGTCAGAGCAAAATAGAATTACATTTATGCTAAACAACTAAATCACTCCCACTATCACGTACCTGGTGAGAGACCGACAGCCGAGGAGGCTTCTCTTACTTCTCACCTCCTACACCCCCTTGGAGGTGGGAACAGGTTGTGAGGTGGCAACGAGGAGCACGAGTGCCACAGCTGGGATCACGCACTGGTGCAAGGAAAGTCCAGGAGCGGATAAGCCAAATCAGGAAGCAGGAGCGTAGTCAAGGATAGCCAAGGATCAGAATCCAGCCGTGCAGCGAGGTACAGAATCGAGAGGCAATAAGCAAGCCCGGGAAACAGGCCGAGGTCAGGGGCAGGCAGCAATCAAGAAAGGTCCAAACAATCCAAGTCAAGAGGGTACAGGCAGAAGTATTTAACAGGTCAACGGGCACAGGAACACACACAGCTGAAAGACCATCAGCATAGTGAGCAGGGAAGGCTTAAACAAGGACACTTCCTTAATGCTGGTTGCAGCACTTCCTGTCTGCCTGCCGTTTGTGCGTCTTAGCGCGTGTTCCAGTTGTGCGCGCATGCGCACCACAGCATATTTCTGGCCTGTTCTATAGAGGAGTTTGCACGCATGGGAGGCCGTCATTTTCACCTCATACCCATTCTCCTCAGCTTCACAACATAGGGAATAATTGTTCTCCGTTCCAAAACTAGAAGGGCTAATTAGTAGACATGTGCACTGCCAAAAAATTTGTTTCGTTTTCGCTTCGTTTTAAATTCGGATTTGTGTTATTTTGTTTTTCGGGATTCGGATGTGAAAGTCAATTCGGAATTCGGATTCGGACGAAATTCGTTAGCGGTAGTTCGTTCGCACGTTCGTTTCGTTTTCGTTTCTTATTCGTTTCGTTCATTTGTTCGTTCGTTTGCAGCAAAGTGACATTTGAGGGGGAAAATGTTTTTCTTCTACGAACGAACCGAATAAGAAACGAAAACTAAATGAACGTTCGAACAAACTACCGCTACCGAATTTCAGAAACGGAAATTCGGATTCGTTTGCATTCGTTATATCTGTAATTCGGATACATTCGAATGTCCGAAAATTCGTCCGAATTTCGATTCGGAACGAAACGAATCGCACATGTCTACTAATTAGGTTTTTTGAGATAACACAGGAAGTGTGCACAGGACAGCTCTGAATTGCAAGCAGGATCAACAGGTATTTTTTTGTTCTTATCTAGTAGATATCACAAAGCACATCCAATGGGATGTTTAACAGGCTAAAGGAGAGCAAACACGAGAAAGTCATTGTTAGGGTTTACATACATTTTTAAGTAAGCCAAAGAGCAATAGGTAGGCTACCTCGTCCTGTAAAATGTTGGTTGCTTGACTGTTATGTTGGCCCTCTGACTTTCTCTTTGATCCAGAAAAAGTATTCAGATCAAGTTGGAGAAGTCCCTACCTGAGTACTTGCTCCAAATCAGTGACTCGAAGTCTTAAAAGGTGGCCAGCATGACAGCCAACTAACAGAAATTTCAGCCATGGTAGGCTTCACATTTCTCAACTGAAAGATTTCCTTCCAGCAGGAAACAAAGCTTTCTACAAATCTCTACATTTAGCCACTTCCTGTGTGTGGCCGTATAAATATGGCCGGCCACTGAAGTGGTTATACATATACATTATAGCTGTGCCCTTGGTATAATTTTAAACAGCAGGCGATTGCTGTTTCTATATAAGTGATCCGACGTCTGTATAGGCGCCTGATAATTTCAATTGGATTGAGATCAGCAGACTTCTAGCCTCTGATCTCTCCTCCGATCACTGGACCCGGAAGTGATGTGTATTACATCACTTCCGGTGTCACTGTTTACATTCTTCGGCTCTTAGAGCCAGGAGAAGAAGCTGGGGAAGCAGATCTCTGCTTCATCAGCTTCTTTGGGGTCCCTAGGTGACATTAGGGGACCTCTGATGTCTCCATAAAGAGGATCTGTCACACCCTATTTGCTATTACATAGGTGATAGCAATAACGTTAGTGTAAGAAAAAGTGTTTAAAAAAATTAAAAAAATGAAAGTAACATATAGAACAAAAAATGCAAAAAATGTTTTTTAAATATAATAACAGAAATATAAAAGAACACGTATGTGAAAATCATAAACATTTCTGACAATTACCCCAAAATAGGGTGCTCAGGACCTGAGTGGCCAACTGCTAGGCCTAAGCCATGTTGTACAGGGGCTAGCCAAGGACTGTACAAGGAAAGTACTAAGTAGTGTTGGTGACAGATATTAAAATAATGAAGTCAAACTGTATGCTGATGAAAGACACATTGCTTCCCCTTCAGATGTAAACTAAAGGGTTGATCACATCCCCAGAAACTACAAATATAACCCCACAAAATCTGAAATATCTGGTTTGGCTGGATGACCCAACATACACATTCATAAAGCTGCATTGTAATACATGCCTGAAAATATTTAGTAAATGTTCAATGTAATTCTTACTGAAATAGTTTTTTCTACTCACAGCTAGAGATCTGGAGCAACGAAACCTGATAAGAAGGTCGGCCAAACACCAAGCCGCCCTTCGGCGAGAAAGTCTTGGGACAGAGTCCAAAAAAGAAGATGCCGGTAATGAATTTTCAGATGCAGGCGAGCAGGCTCGGATGGCAGACACCATTGACGGAGACTACGAGGAAGAAGGCCAGGCAAAATCAGAACCGACAACACCAAAACAAGGAAGGGCTTCCATGGTGGCAACACCACAGGGCAGATCGCCCAAGACCAATAATCGAAACCGAGCAGAGAAATGTGTGGGAGTCCACATCTCCGGACCCTTCTCCGTTACACTTCCCTTCCACATCACATCAAACCTTTCTCGGCTGACCAGAGGGATGGAGTGCCCAAGTCTGAACTATTCCGTCCTCCACAGGAGTTCTGAGAGGCTCTTCTCCCCAGAAGGACAACTCTACATGGGCAGCAGCGACACCGACAAAGTCAGACTCACAATGGTGTCTAACATTGACAAGGAGAACAGCAAGCAAATAGGTGACCGTCACTTCTCAGATAACTTAATATTACAGCCTCAGGTTGTAAATGGCAACCTGGGTTTAGGTAATGATGACAGTATTGTGAGCAGAGACATTTTCTCATATTCAGTTGACTTCCTGTCTCCAATAGGGCCGGATTTCTCACAAGGCCAACCAAGGCCCCGGCCTCTGGACAGCAAGGAGTAGAGGGTCAGCAAGGGTGTGGAATTCCTATCTCCCGACGCCCGGGATATGCAGTTCTGGGCGCCGGGCGGGTAGTTGTTTTCTACATTTAGCCCTGCTTGGGGCATGCAGGGCTAAATGTAAAGTGGGGAAGTTTTGTACAAGTGACCTCAGCAAGGTCGCGGAGATCACTTGTATGCAGCCTGCATAAGGGGGGGGGGGCGCATTGAGGAACCTGGCATTGTGGCAGCAGAGAGAGTAAATCCGGCCCTCGTTTCCAAATCCCAAGAATAATTCTGATAGCCTTCTGAAACCCAAGATGGCAGACACCGCAGAGGAACACGCTATACAGAGAAGTGACAGCGATATACTGTATCATTTTCTGGAGAGGTGTTGGGGCTTTGCATTCAAGATGCTGAGGATTCTGGGTAGTGATTCCAAAGAGTTTCTTGTTTTAGGGTTATTTCTTATTCAATCTATTAATAAATGTAAGACGATTACACTTCTTATGGCTTTAGTAGGTGAAATAATAAATCACAATCTCAGGTCTCTGGTGGATTATAAATTGATGGCGCAGCTACTACTCATTGATAATATGTTTGGTCTTGGTTTAGATATTCTCAACAGATAAAGTATCAGCCCAGTTGTTCAGCTGATACTGTAATGTTCAGGGTTAAAGTGACACTAAACTCAAGGGTTAAATCTTAAAATTTAAATCTTAAAAAAGCATTCAAGTACCTTAATTATTAACAAAAATGTATCTTATTTGTGTATCACTCGGCTGTAGATCCTCCAATCATCTCTGAATTGGTGCTGACACTGTCCATCCTTCTGGAGGGTGACTACTTTTGTTCCTCATGGTCCCTGTGTGTGTTGTAAAGTAGCCACCGCTCCAAGCTCGCTCCTGTGATGGACTACAGTTTCACATTTAGTTTACTAATTTGTATTGAGATTGTAGTCCATCACAGGAGCAAGCTTTACAACACACACAGGGACCATGGGGAACAAAGGTAGCCCCCCTCCAGAAGGAAGGACAGTGTCAGCACCAATTCAGAGATGATTTGAGGATCTACAGCTGAGTGATGCACCAAATAACTACATTTCTGTTCATAGTTAAGGTACTTGAATGCATTTTTAAGATTTAACTCCTGAGTTTAGTGTCACTTTAAGTTAGCATTAGGGAGTAGCTTAAGGTTAGGTAACAGATTTACGCTTATGGGAAACAGGGTTGGGTTTGGCCTTTAAGGTAAGGGGACGGCTAAGGTTAGAGGTATGGCAACGAGAAGTATAGGGTTAGAGAAGACCTTCAAGAAGGACAAAATTCAAAAACGAATGACATCATTTTCACTGTTTCTGTGCAGAACCTGAAATGAAAGAAGACAATGAGCAGAAAATGGAGGCAAATCGAATGTCGCTAGAGGTCCAAGACACCTTCTCTTTCCTGGACAGCCAAGACACAAATCCCGATGAGACAAAAACTGCCTGTATAGCTGAGGAGGAGAAATCGAAAGAGAGAATAGTGGAATACTCTGCCGACAGCGAAATGCTGCAATATGACCTGCAGCATGACAGCCAGGCAAGTGTTGGCCATAACAAGGAAAAGTGCTAGCTCTGCTGTTCAGGCCACCAGCCATGGCACTGGAGTCCCGGACTCACTGCCCTAACCTAAGTCTATGAATATTTCCCTTGTAGCACATCTCACCGAGTCTCAGGTTAGGGACCTGTGACAAGGTACGAGGTCTAAATGAAATAAATGAAGAACGTGTGACAAGGGACACCAATCTAAATAATATGTATAGCTATTATGTATTACATGTACTGTACATATTAGCACCAAGGTCACTTTACAATGTAAATATAAGTGCACTCAGTGTACAGAAAAGGGTCAGAAATCTTCCATAGTACAAGCTGTATGTTAGCATTATAGATAACAGATAATGTTTCCTAAAACATGTTGCATGTTTTGATATATCACTGTCCTTCTAGCGCAGGGTTAGGCAAACTCTAGCCCACCAACTGTGGTGCAACTACCAATACCATTAGGCATTGCAAGACTCTGACAGTCACAGCTATGAGTCCCCGAGACAGAGTCTTGGTGGGATTTGAAATTTCACCACAGCTTGAGGGCTGGAGTTTGCCTATCCCTGCTCTAGTGGGAGCATAGATGCTAAAGTGAAACTTTAATAAATTACGTTACGTGATCATGCCCTATATTCCTTGGTGGATGGACTAAATTATAATATGTATCCTTCCTTGTCATTCAGATGGTGGAGTTTTCTGTAGAGCCACCCCAGGATGATCCTTGTACAGAAGATGAGTCGGAACAGATGTACTTTACTCCAGCGGGCTGCTTGGACAGTGAGGACCCAATGCGGAACTGGCGTGACAGCTTAGAAGATGTTTATCTAAGTGCTTACGATGACTTGAGCCCCTTATCCGAGGAATCGAATGATCATTATGAGCTGGATGAAGGGAACATTGAGGATGGAGGGACTGAACAAACCATGAAGCCTAAAGAGAATGAAGGAATGGATGATAGTATTGCTGATGGACCTCCTGCTACAACCACAGATGGACAGGAAGAGGTTCTTTGTGATACCCAAAAACCCTTTGGCCAGGCAGACATGGATGATGGATCAAGCAATACTGAGATAGATAACGAGAATCAATGTAGTCCGCAATCTAATTTATCGGATAGAGCTACATCAGAGGTTGTCTTTACTAGAGAAGAATCAGACTGCGATACAAAAAAAGATGAGATAGCTTGTGTCCATGAAGATAATACAGATAAGGAGACAGTGGTGGACTCCAATTCTGGATATGTAAATCCTGGTGAAAATTTGGAGGACAAAGACAGTGTGGAGGATGAAGGCCATGTGGAAATCTATGTCCCTCTGAATCTACAAGATGATGCAATCTGCGGAAAGGAGGATATGCTGGAGTTAGAAGCTTTGTTATTAAATTTGTGTCCTTCAGATTTACCTATCCCTACATTTTATGACAAGCACATTCCATTGGTGGATGAGATTAATCATGAAGACTTGGATTCTCCAGAAACGCAAGAGCCTGATCTGTACAACCAGGAAGTACTACTGATAAATCAACCTACTGTAATGAACGTAGATCTTCCAGAAGTACAGGATCCTCAGGATGTCCCTCTGATACATGAGTTTACCTTGAAGAACTTAGACTCTCCTAAAAATGATGAGAAAGATGACATTCTGCTGGAAGAAAACATGGATTCCCTCTCAGAGACAGTCCACGTTGGCTTGGAATGTGCTGAAGATATGAATGTTGTAGAAGATAATATGATCCTGAAGACTATTGATAATATAGAAGAATCTCAGTGTTGCCCATCAGGCACCCCTGTACATGACAATCCTCTTCTAACAGCTGATAATGCAATACACATGACAGAAAATGTTAGCTTGCAAGAAATTCTTTCTTTGCTGAACTGCCTGGAGACAGCTTTAGAAAAACCTCAGGAAAACGAAGCAAGTCCTTGGGAAGAACACAAAGCCATTATCTGGGACCAACTGCAGGACACTGAAAGCTCACAATGTGACCTTTGTTTACCTCATGAGATGATACAAAGTGACGGTTTACCTGACACAGTAACTATGACCCCACAGGCAGAGGATGAGGGTCCAAGTACTCACCTCGATAGATCAAGTGAATCCCATCTACAAAACATCCAAATCTGTTCCTCCAAAGAGCAGAACCTCTCAAACTACACCAAGTCTACAGTTGTGAAAGAAAACACAGGAGCTTCCAGCATTAACTCCGATGGAAGTGTAACCATGAAACTGGCTTTCAGCCTAAATAAAGTGCAGCAAGTCAAATCCGTACCAGTGGTGCCACCAAAACCCCAGTTTGCCATGCTGCCCCCGGCCCTAAAGAGTAAATTGCATGTTAGTTCCAAATTATCCACAACCAGAGATACACCGAAGTCCCCAAAACCAGACAAAGGTGTTGGGTCGGAACCTATAGAATCAGGCAGTGACTGCGCCCCAATAAGAAGATCCAGCTGGAGAAACGCCACCAGTGTGTCCTTTGATACAGCAATGGCTCTAGCCAAGGAACGTCAGCAGTCCCAAATTCCAGTTCGGCGCATGCAAACTTATTGCATTGGAGATTCTTATGATCTTTTGGACATACCCAAGATGGAAACCCCGCCCAACTTTCCAAAATTCACCATAAAGTCAGCCAGCAGCAGAACACACAGACCACTTAGTTGTATGTCCCTGTCTTCTGCTGAGGCAGACTTTAGAGGCTTGCGCCAAGAAGATCCGAACGCTTTATCAATACATGGAGCCCAGTCTCTGTTCCAGCAGGAAGCCGAAGTCTACACTAAGGAACTTCCCCAGAGGAACCGCCTTAGCATGCCAAGGATAGGCCGACAGTCCACTGACGATGTCCACTTACACACGTGTTATCACCAGCGTCGATCCCTTCTCTGAACATCTAACCATGTCACTGTTCCCGTCCAATGAGCGATTTAATTAATCTGTGGATCTCAAAAACGCGCCAGACTCTGCATTTTTCATTGGCACAATGAATGTTCTGATAGTGAAAGAGTTATGTTTTCTTAATGGTGACAGAGCTGGCCGCATGGTGTTCAAAAATATCTATTTTTTTAATTTTAACATGCTGGACTGTATATTACTTTAATCATATTATATTCATAACCACAAATTTACAAAACAATTTCAACTTCACACTATGTTATAACATGTAGAATACATATATGGATGGAGCACCGCCCATAGAACGATCTGGAAATGAACGGAAGCTGAACACAGCACATCGTCTCTCTGTTGTCAGGTTGGAAAATAACTGGGCGTCCAGCAGGAAAGTGTCACCTTGTACTGTAACCTGTATGTAAATCTCCTGAGCTGTAAAATAATAAATGTCTGGAGTCATCAGCCTTTCATAGCATTGTATGGTCTGTACATGAGAGAACACTAAGCCCAGAACATCACACACCTCACCGTGCCGCAAGTTAGGGGGATCACAAGGAATTAGTGAACCAAAAGTGATTGGCAGAACCCAAATGTACAGCTGCTGAGGCCCAGGCAGGTGTTGTGGTCTATTTGGACTGGACTTTCAATGACCTTCCCTGTTACAAGG